AGTGGCCCAACTTAAAACTATTTACCCTCAGTTCAGTTATGTTTGTAAACCATGCATATTAATGAGATGCACTAGTTGGGTGTACACTGGATAAACAAAAACTTGGCCATTTGTTTGCACACTAGAAAAAAATCAGTTTACTTGTACAAGATATTTTTTTCAATAAAATAAATACACCCATGTATGTAGCATGCCTTCGGGAGCTATTTGTGTGATTTTCAAAAAAACATGTGAAAAGTGCCCAAAAAACTATTCTGCTACCTTAATCCACTTCAGTGCAACAGAAGTTAATTCCGTCTGACACTCTCTTCAATATCAACTGAGCATCACATTTGCCTGAAAGTCTAACTTTACATCTACCTCCAATGATGTAAACTGATCGAGGTAAAGGTTAGAATTCAAATACAACTCTGATGATGCATGTATTAGTGAATGAAACCAAGACAATTTTATTCATTCTTGAGGTGTTTGGTGACTTCATCTTAATTGAGATGAGAAAGCCCATTGAACAATGCCCAAACATGCATGCACTCCGATTTGAAAAAAAAATATCTAACAGGCAAGTTACGAACATGCAACATTTGGGATTTAAATTCACGAACTCAACAAAGTTCTTGACTACTATATGCAGACATGCACCTTGTTACGCCACTCTAACCATCCCTAAAATATGGTGTGTAATAAACATACACATGACTAGATGTAGATTCACAAACAAAATCTCTGACAGGCAGAGCTGAATAATCATGGTCAGTATTCTATTACAATATTAAATACTGGCAGGTGTTATGTTCTGATGTCTCCAGTCATTAACTCTTGCTTCAATATGCAAATGCCAAAATGCACAATATGAAATATCCTTATATGATTTTAGTAGCGATTTCATACAGCAACCCGGCTTAAGCATATGCATATGAATGAGATCAAAGTCAGTCACTGTAAATCAATCTTCCTTGACACTAATGATAATAAAAAAATATTGTCTGTGTTATCTACACGCCTATTCAAGAATTTTTAGATATTTTTTAAAAGTGTCTTAACAAGTTGTATCAAAAATAGAACTTGTATTATTGATTGTAATATTGATAGCAATC